TCTGTACAATGCCCGTACTTGCTAGTGAGACATGAATAGTGTAAACACTCGCATTAGCTACTTTATTTACGCCTCTATTTAGTTACGTATTATCTATCAAGTTATTCGTTATCACCTACTCGACTAACTTACTACTTAACCGATTTCACTGGTCTGGTTGCCAACTCGAAAGCGTCCGCTTCCTTGGCCGTTACTGACTTCTTTTTGTTTTGTTTGTTTTGCTGTTTGTTTGTTATTTAATACGACAAATTATTGTAATTGAAACAATTGTGAGAACCTGAACTTGTACTTGAAGCTACTTAAACACTAAAAAATGAAGTCAAAGTTCTGTGCTCTGGTCGCACGGTGCATCTTAGTCAATGATACTTCGAGAAAAATAAATAGTTTCCCTAACTATCATCAACTGTCATTTACATGATTAACCGGCGCCAAGAAGTTTGCGATAATTATAATCGACGATAGTTTATTTTAAGCTCACTCTAGTTTCTACTGCCATGCCTCTGCCACGTAAATCATTGACAGATGGTCCTAGATAGACTTAGAGCCTTTGTATATGGAAAAAAATTGTTTGGTAGTTTCTAAATAGCAGAGAACCGTTTAATATAGAAATCTTGGGTGACGTTGGGTAGAGAACAAGTTGCTTTGAAGGCAGGGAGCTTGTAGACACCACCCCTACCAGGGATACATTGGGACTTGAAGAGCATGAGCAACCTCGAGATCTGGGGGTTCCTCAGTTTTTGACATAACCGGTAAAGGATAGAAATATATCCTGATTTGCTACTGACTACTGACTACTGACTGATCATTTCTACTACTTTCGTTTCGCATTAACCAGTCTTGTCACGGAGGTACTCCTTGCACAAATTAAATCGTCTCTTTGATTCAAACTGTGTCTGTATTCGGGGAACAGCTGGGCGGCATCTTGAATTTCAATGTCAGACTCCGGGTATGATCCTGGTGCAAAGCAAGCCTTCAACAGTAGAAACATAAAGAATCACTGTACCTCCGACTGAGATATGCTCACCAAATAAAACGATTTACTTCTTCATATAAAACATATCAAAGGCTTCTCAATATAACCAAGGTATGAAATCTCTTCTTTTTTTAAGGAATCAGATTTTGTTTTGCTCGAGAGGAGTGCGCATTGGACCAGCTTAAGCAAAATAACGTGATATGTTAGTAGTGGTAGCTCTCTGTAGATTTTTAACATACTCAAGTGTCTGTGTCACTGCTGGAAAAATTTCGCAATGTCATTGCCAACACAGGCACTCAGAGTGCACCTCCAATAGTTTCATGAGCTTTCGTGCGTTTTTATGGCTCAGAGCTATAATTGAAAAAATGCCAATAAACCACTTTTAACGACATTATATGTTAAGTAGAGCATCACCTAGATTACTTATACTGCACACTCTCTAATAAAATAGAATTCTACGAGAGATTAAAAACTCCGTTGACCGTTTGCAAATATTTGCATATCTTCGGAGATATAAGTTTGAAAATTGCGTAAAATAGGCAAATGAGAGGGCTGATGACGTCATACACTCAATCAAATACTAAATCAAGTATATAAATAGAACTATCTCGGTCAATTTGTGGCAGAAGCCATTGACCATTGAAACTTAGTAGGCTATTATTCCTACATGCAACACACCTACGGCTATAAAAATTCTGGTTCCTAAGGCAACCCACTCTTTCCAGGTCCTCTCCAACCTGATTTCAATATTTTAATGATTTTCACCTCAATAAATATTAAACAAGGCTATGAACTCGACCTAACATATTTATACGCTTGCTGGATCATGCAAATCAGGTATCATTGGCAAATATCAATGTAGAATGCTACAAATGGCCAGAGAAGTCTTTAATATCGGGGAGGTCTGAAACCCATTATCTTGCCATAGTAACAAAATCTAATGTTCATAATGTGGAGCACCTATTTTAAAAACCTGAATACGTCTGGAACGATAAGAGATAATCAAAAATAGTAAACAGAGTTTTTCTTTTCGTACAGACTACTTGTTTATGTTTTAAAATGGTTTAAATAGGAAAGATGCGATTTTCGTCATAGTACCTCCTAAAGGAGACTTACTCTTATTTTCCAAAGTCAAAAGTCACGTTATCTCCAATCAGCATAAATGGTGCCCACTCAGAAACCCTGTCAAAGCCGTTACCTCTCATCCACTTGATGGCCTGGTGAAGAGATTCACTGGCACTCTCACCACGAACAAGATGCTCGTAGAATTCAAGTATCAGCTGCTCTGTTGCTTCGTCACTTATGGCCCATAGAGCCACCAAAACGGACCGTGCACCGGATCCTATGAACGCTCGAGCGATTCCAATGACTCCTTCGGTTCTAATCTGCCCACACGCACTATGGCAACAGCTAAGTATTACCAGCTTAGCTCGCAATTCAACTTGTGCAATGTCCGACATCCTCAAAAGGTAATCTTCTTCTTCTGGCGTCCTGTCAGAGGGGCGTACCGGAGAAAGGGCAATTTCTCCTCGGTCAGCATTACCATGGGCTGCAAAATGTATCAGACTCA